CGGGCACTGCCTGGGGCTGCCCCCGTGCATCCTTGTGCTGGACCAGGAAGGAGGGAAAGAGGACACTAGGAAGCAGGGGAGTCAGGGAGCAACAGCAGCTCCCTCTTATACAGCAGTTTCAACGTGCCAGGCACTGTCCTGAGGCCGCGTGTATTCTAACAACTCTGTGAAGTAGTTACCATTCTTGTCCCCGTTTGATAGGTGAGAAAGCTGAGGCACAGGGAGGGTCAGTAACTCACACACGGTCCCACAGATAGTACATGGCAGAGCTGGGATTAAAATCCAGGCCGTTGGCTCCAGAGCCAGGCTCCCAACCATGATGCTACACAACCATGGAAATGGTGCTGGGTGGGGAGACTGGACAGGTGAAGGAACATGGGAGGGGACTGAAAGCGAGCCCTTTGCCCTGTTCCACGCTGGCTGGGACTCAGGGAGTCGGGGGGCTGGACAGAGTCTGAGGAAACGTGGTGTCCTTGTCCCTTGGATCTGCCAGCTCTGAACAGAGTGGCAATGGCATTAGGGTGTGGGCAGCAGGTGACAGAAGCTTAAAAATTACCATGGCTTGAGCCAGGTCATGGTAGCGGGCGAGCCCAGCAAAAACCATGGGGAAAGAACAGTGGCTGAGGACTCCTGTGGGGAGGACAGCCGGGGTGGAGGGACGATTCCAGGGACTCGGAATGGGGAAATGGGGCCTGTTCTTGGAGGTGGAGAAGTAAGGCGGTAAAAGAGGTTAGCTAGGGCTGGTGGCTGGGTGACAAGTCCTGGGGTATGGGGAGAAGAGGGTGGAGGCTTTGGGGAAATTAGAGCTGAAAAAGAAGGTGCAGGGAGATGTGTAGAAGCCCTGGGCCAGGTCCCCAGGTCCTGCTCAAAGGACTGGAGCTGGCAGGGGAGGGACTCACCGGTGACGGCCACCACAGACACAGGCCCTACACGCTTCCTGCCATGGAAGCCATAGAGGTTCATTTTATACTTCCGGTCAGATTCCAGGCCGGGGACGGTGACCTCATTCTCATCCCCTGCGACGGGCACTGTCTGGGGCTGCCCCTGTGCATCCTTGTACTGGACCA